TACAATCTTTCTTGTTTAAAAAAAAATATCTCCAGACACCGGTATTCATTTCTCCACTCATGGAATCATAATGTTTTGGAGCATCAACAAAATTGACAAGTCACTATGACATCACACAGAGAGAGAAGGGCAACAGCAGAAACTACCAGCATTCTCCTATTTTTCTGCCAGTGTTGTAGTTGCTCTTGCTGTGTGCGTTTTGGAGCAGCTGGTTTATCATCATTCTGTGCGGCTCCATTAGTGTTGTTCCCTATTGAGAAATCTTCGTCTTGAAGAGTACTGCAGTCTAATGGTTTACAAAGCCCAAAATCTGACAATCTCAAGTGTCCAAATCTATCAAGTAGTAAGTTGTCAGGCTTGATATCCCTACAACATATTCCACCTTAAAGGTCAGTCTGTATTTTAAAGTTGATTGCATTAGCTGAACCATGTCTACTGAAACTGATAGATCGTGTCACATTGATCCCAAAAAAAAAACCTGTGAATATAGTTGTGTTTATGAATGGATTCAATAGCCAAAACAGTCTCTGCAACATAAAATCTTGCTTCATCTTCAGTTAAGGTATCCTTTCTCATCAATAAAGTCATCATATCTCCACCAGGTAGATACTCCATTATAAGATAAAGAAAATCATCATCTTGAAAAGAACAGTAAAGCTTGACAATGCAATTGCTGTCGACTTCTGCAAGCAGATTCCTTTCAGCTTTCACATGCTCAACCTATAAAAGGTTTTAGAACTGTTAATAGATATGGTAGATAAACCTCGATGATGTCATCTGAAAGGCCTTGCAAATGCATACTTGGCCTCTTCGAAGCATCTCTGATTTCTTGAGTTTTTTCATGGCATATACATTACCAGTTGTCTTTTCTTTGCAAACTCTAACCTGCACCATAAATTAAATTCAGTAGTATTTATATCAAAATACTGGTATAGATTCCCAAGGAGAAAATAACAAACAGAAGCACTATTTTTTGTAGGTCCACAAGACACAACCTAGTTGACCTAGTTGCTGCTATCTCCAACTACATTCTTTCATTTCAAACATCTAGTTGATAAAGATGTACCAAACAAACCCAAAATATGTATTAGAAGCATATAAATGGCAATTGCCACCTTTGCCCCCTTAATATATCTCATATAATTTACCACTAAAGTTGAGTTCCATGCACTAGTAGATGATATAGAATGTTCATACTAGCACAGACTAACAAAAGAACATGGTCAAAATACACGGAAAACAAATAACCAATGTCCTGCGGACTGAAAAATAATGGAAAACTATCTCTCACCAATCCAGAAACTCACTTCCCTGGCTTCATATACTTTATATTCTTTCCCAAGGATTAAACAAGTCCTGGACGGGCTTAATCCTATGCATACGCTCATGTCTCCGCTAAACCCTTATCCTTAAAACATGAGTTAAAAGACAGGAAAAATGAAGGAAGAGGACTAAGCTGAATATGGTAGTGAGACCTGATAGAACTCTTAGGGATCAACCCTAAAGAATTCAGGGAAAATAAAAGAATGACAGCATGTTCACAAGTTAATTGAGTTTCATCTTCCAAATCAAGACCCCAATTATTTCAAAGGCCATGGCCATTTTATTCCTCCAGTTACACCAAGACTAGTACCGAAGAAACAAGAGTCCAAGATCAACTCAATTGTTTCACATAGTACCTATGTAAGAGATTATGAGCCCAATTGTGAGAAGCTTGTCCTTCACAATTCTAGCTTCATGTAGAGTCTATTAGTCTATTTTTTGTTTGTATCGGAGGTTTTTGAGTCACTTGCTATGCTTGGTATCATGTTTCTACATGAGAGAACATATAATTATATAAATAATAAAATTAACTAGCATCATATCACCTTAAGATTTTAGATAATCAGTCTCCTAACCAAATTATTTTGCATTTTCCAGTTGGAACTGTGAAAATTGCACCTCTGATGCAATGTATTTTTTCCTTTTTGCAGTAGGGAGACTAATGCCTATAATCTACCATGGTTCATGGAGATCAACATCCCAAAACCAACTTCAACAAAGAAAAGAACTTGGTTGTCCGCCCAAGTATTATCAAGAGAATCCCATCAAAGAAACCAACAACAAAAAAACGCTGTTCTATGCATCATAGGAGAACCAAAAAGCACTGGAACAACATATGCAAGAAATTGTTCCCAACTTATATCATTCATCTCTTATCTACTAGTCTATCCTCACAAACTCCAGAATTTTTTAGAAGCTCTCAATCTCACCCAAGATAAGAAGCCATGCTGGGATGTTCAAGATGGATATTCACATAGTAATGTTGACATCAATCTGAGCATCTTTATATGCTTTAGATATTCAACTCATGAAATTATCATGCCTGATAAGAGTGTTGATTTCTCACCATATATCTCTTATAAGCAAAAGCAACCAATGGATAGGAGGTTTTAGTAGCATATCCCTTAGCATTAGTAATTGCACCATTAATTACTAGCACTAGTAAAAAATTCCACATTAAATACAACTTTTACAATTCCCACATTGCAAAGCCAAGAACAAAATAAATTTCTTTGCCATCATTTCCCTTCTAGTTTTTTCAATTGCTATTTGTGTAAGGCAATTAATGCATTCTCTATCAACAACTCAAACTTAAGACAAATGTAGAGCACACCCGTCAAAGGTGTGGCTTAAATAAAAGCACAGACAAAGGACTAAAGTTTGAAGGCAATAATAATCAAGTAAGCCAGTTTTAGTTAATGTCTAAGATATGCTCAGAAGTAAATAAGTAGGAGAAAAGAAACTTGTAATCTATGACTTAAAGGAAGTTGTAATAATTGAGAAATATACTTTTCTTCTGGTTAGGCAATTTACATATCATTAACATATAGAGAAAGTGACTTATTGTGTGGCAAGGAAAATACCTCCCCAAATGCACCCTTGCCAATCATCGTCAGTAACTCAAAGTCATCAGCACCCATTTTATGCCTCTGAAGACGCATGTATTCGGTTTCTTTCTTCTCCAAGAATTTAAGTAGGTTGTTTTGATCTTCCTCGGAGACATCAGCATCAGCCAACTTTTTCTCCAATATAATTCGCCTGTTTCATTTTTAAAGTGAAAAATGAAATTCTCAACTCCAAATCAAACTCTACTTTAATGATTTTATATTTGAACTTGCTCATGATTTATTTGACCAGAAACTGAAACGAAGTAATACCCTCACCAACCAACCAAGCATGTTGTGAGCTGACCATAAAACTAAAGTTCTATGCTGCAGACCTGACTATAGTAAAGCAGAAATGGAAAACCTAAGTTGAACCCTCAGAAAACACGAATGATTAGGCCTGCTAAGAAAGGACAATAAGAAAACCCTTGCATACATGGCATTCTAATCATTAAGTCTTTGCATGGCGCAGATGACCACGAAGGTTCCTAAGGTTGTCAAAAATGGCTTTTGAAGATGTTCATTCAACAGGAAATCACGAACAAGCAGCAGGATACATAAGGGGGGACTAAATAGAAACACATGATTGTATTGAGGACCACGAAATAAACACACACAGAGCTAAGAAGTAAGAAATAATCTATAAAAACTAAAGGATTAGATTCCTAAATATGTTGAAGTATTCATAATGATACCCTCACTTTAAATTCTTTATAATAAACTCCAAAATAAGGTAGGCTTTTATGCAAGAAAATTCTACATTAATTGCATTCAGTAGATTCTCATCACCGAGAATGCTAGTTGAATGACCTGCCACATTACTGCATCTAGAAAAGAAATTCCATCTAATAATGCTTAAAGTACTCCATATATATTGACATCTGCTTGTTATATAGAAGTTTGACTAGTGAGCCAATGAGTAAACAGAAACATGAATACGGGGGGTGCCATTCACAAACAGAGAAAGTGCTTGGTCTTTCATAGTCAAAATGTAGTTCATCAAGCAGCACATTGGTTAGTGCTACAGTATTGTTTCGTGTCTCAGAATGAAAAATCAGTTGTTATGTTATTAGACAGGCATAACACACCTCTCCTTCCTCTCCTGTAGATTCTTCATTTGTTCTTTGTAATGGTTCTCAATGTACTGCTTTGCAGCAGCGACCTTCTGCTTGGTGATATTGGAAAGAGCTTCTTCATCATTTTGTGAAATCATGTCTTCTTTTTCTCCTCCTCCTCCTGCACCAAAACCCCCGGCACCAACAACAGCACAACTGCTACCAATGGGATCTTTTTTCCTAGTTGAACTTCTCAACTTATCTCGTGGCTGTAGCTTCTGAAACCAACTCCTTGCAGAATCCATTCCGTATCCAGTAATCGCCTCAACTGCTAAAATATCATCCCTCTTTCTCTTTTTATATACATACAGGCAGGCAAAACAGGGGATAAACACCTACAATAAGCCCTTCTCAACAACAATAAAACCCACTTGCACACATTCTGAAAATATACACGGAAATAAACAAATAAGTAAGCAGGCGTTTCAAATAAACAACAATACTCTCAATCATGATCAACAAATTAAACCAGATCCTCAACCTTGTTTTCCAAACATAAACCATAAAAAGAACATCAACCATCAAATTTCAGAACCAGGTGTTAAATTAATCAAATCGCTTATTTCTTCAAGATATCTAAGCATCAAATTCTGTATATAGATTTGTACCTAAAAAGACTACACATACGTTTCTCAAAAAAAAAAAAAAAAAAGAACACTATAGATAAATACCTCAATTCCCCAGATAAAAACAAGAGTAAAAACCAGAATTGAGACTCAAACAATGTGTTCAAACAGAGGTCCAAACACCAAAAATCACTGTTGAAAATTGCGAGAAAAGCAAGAAAGGAACAGAGAGGCACATAAATCGGATTACCGTGTAATTTGTCTCAGGAAAATATGATCCGCAAAAAGCCCTACGCACAAAATTTTTCAAAATGGATACTCTGCGCCATTTTCGCTCTTGAGTTTCTCTGTGTTCTATTTATATATAAATACAAGCATTGTATATACATGCATGAGACATATATACATGTATATATTTGCAGACAGTTAACAGAACAATGGAAATTGTTAATAAGCAACATGTCTTGCTGGCATTGATTCTCTCGTCAGCGTTATTATGCAGAGCTCTCCGTTTTATATAGGTTTTGCCTGTTCCTCTGGAAGGATTTCATTAATTTTAGCTTCGAGATATCCATTTTTAAAATCTTAATTATAAGGTTTAATTATTAACTAATTAAATATAATATCCTAATTGGATCTCGCGATAAATTCATACGAGAAGATTCGATTGGGCGGCTACCTACTTCACGTTTCAATAATCCAACCTCGCGGTCCCTACTCTGTAATTATTAGAATCTTATTTGTATAAAAATTTTATAATAATGCTGTTTGTTTATACGTATTAATTTAATTATTTTTTATTAGCCTGAAATTTCAAAATAATTAATTTTAATTATTCTTAACACATATTAATTATATTTTATAAATCGGATTACCATGTATTAATAGTCATTTTAACACAAAATGTAATAATAGTAGGAGCTTTTTTAAGCAAATAAAATTAGTGGGCCAAAACTAAAAACACTTAAAAATAAATAATTAATTATTTAAAAATACTAATTAAGAGAAAGGTAATACACAGTTTATATGTTGCTAAAAGGGTGTCGTAATTTTTTTTTTTAAAAAAAATTGTATTATATATTTTTTATTATATAAAATGGAAATAAAAATATAATATAATAAAATTTAAATTTAAATAAAATCTAGAAAAAATTTCTGCATGAATTTTTGGTTACACCACGCAGCTGGATATTATGCAGCTTGTATCTGGCAACTATGAAGTTGACAAGTATCTACGGTACATATATACCATACATTTATCACATGATTATTTTGTCTTTCCTTCTCAATTCTCTTTCTGATACAGTTTCAAAAATCCTCTTCTTATTGATTCCCAGCTATTTTACATTGTCAAATCAGCAGAATACATACATTGTATAAACCTTATTGTCAATGATTCCTGCCTCTAAATTCAGAATAATATAGGATCCTTAAACTGGCAACCATGTGAATCTGTGACACACAGTTCTCATTCCTCACTTTACAAATCAAGGAATCAACAGAAAAGAAATCTGAGCCTCAGATACTTTAATAATAAGTAAAATTTTGGCTCATCACAACTTATTTGGAAAGTACCTGGATAGACCATTGCAATAGGAACCTCACACACTGGCATCTCATCAGTGAAAATGGCTCATCTTTGGGCTTGATCAAAGCAAGGCTGTCAGGAGTTTTCTGTCTAGGCAAAACAACCATGCCTCGCTCTTTTTTTTTTTTCCATCTTTTGCTTGCGCAGTATGAGGAGTAATTTCGGGAACATGTCTTGTGTCTCTAGAAGCAACATGGGCCGAGAAAGGTTCCTTCCCTTTGTACCCAGAACGTGAAGCAAAAGTCAGACCTATTGGAAGAAGGCTGATTTCCATCTGCGGCACGTGGCAGGAATGCATCAGTTCTTTCCCGCGGTGCCAAAGGCTTAGGTGAGACGGGTTGCTTCCCCATGTTTCAAGGATGTTGAAAGGGTGAAACAGACCCAGGGGCCTGCAATTCAGTCCTTGAAGTGCCATGAACTGACTGCAATGACTTCACCACATCCCATGGCTGCTGCTGTGAAAAATTGGCAGGTGTTTCATCCTCTTCAAGTTTTGGAGTTCTTAATAAAGTTCCACCTGCTCTGGGGCTGCAGTTGTTGCGAGAGGATGAAGATGGCCCATCCTGGCCTCTTAACCGCAATCTTTTGAATGGTCGCACAGGTTCATCATTAATTAATGTTTCGCCATCAAAATTTTCCTGCTGTTGAATAAAACAAGCAAATTCACCCTAAGTAATAGCAGGCAAAAGAGAGACAAAAAAGTATAATATGGAGGAGCAGCACAAGGAAACAAACATACAGCAATATCGTTCCTAGACTTCTTTCCTCTCGATCAACTGAACAATGAGGTCAACAGAAGAAAATAAATTGATGACGTGGCAACGTTATATGCCGCCACGTCAGATAATATAATTGCCGCTTCTCCAAACTATTTCCCGTTTTCCGTCAAAGAAAACGAACAGAGGAATTAACTCTGTAGGAAAGTATAATGACCATAATGCCCCTAAGGAGTAATGCCGTTGGTAAAACCGTAATTATATTCTATAATAGGGGCATTCTAGTAAAACTGATCGTTTCTGCTTCGAATTAGATCGGGACAACCTGCAACTAACACTGAACGAACTCTAGCTAGTTAAAAACCCCAACACAAAGCCCCTTCTCCTCTCTCTTCATGAAAAGAATTCGAGAATTACGCCATTACAGGAGAAAGGGAAAGCTCCAGTCATTTGCCTTCAACAATGTCGATCCCTATTATTGAAACTTATTACAGTAGTCTCTGTTTCTTTAATGCTCTCCCTATCACATCCCTGCAGCTTGAGCAGAGAAACAGTGGTGGAGGTGAATCCTCGATTCCACGGCAGCGTGTGTGTTGCCAAATCTAGCAAATGTCACAAGCCACCATCGGCTCACCACGATCGTCTTCGATTCCACATTCGCATCTCACCGTTCGATGCTCAGTCTCACTCTTGATACCTAAACTTAGGACCCTTTATCCCTCGTCCTCTCACCACAAGTTGAGAACCGGATTCAAACTTCTCAAGCATCTCCCCGTCCTCGATCCTTTCCAGATTTTCTATATCTGTCACCACAAATTTATCCATACCACAGTAGGTGTCTCTTAGTGCATTTGCGATAGCTTCCTTTAGCTCTAACAGTGTTTCATGATATGGAACCACGACCAATTCATCTGGCAGTGATTTCTTAGCCAATCTACGCTCTTTCACTTGGAAAAAAATTCTCAATAATTGGTCATCCTCATCTCTGGAGGGAACTCTTGATAATTGTTCCTTCTCATCTCTGAAGGGGCCAATCTTGCACAAAGTGTTTGCTGTCCAGAACTGTTTGAAGTGCCATTTTCACTGTTTCTGATTCTGGATAATTCAGCAAAAGATTTGTATACAGCACAGTAACATTGCAATACACATCAATTCCTGGTACCAAAGCAGGACCTCGAATTTGCTCTTGAACTATTTGTTGTTGGGATTCGTTGGACGTAACTTCGAGCAGAAACCTCAGAAGATCCCTCAAGGTGATCAACTAAGCTTTACTCTGATTTCTGTAATGACTAGTAATCTTTTTTATTTTCATACTGAATTCTTCATTCCCAACACAATACCCCGAACGAGTAATGCTATCGTTTAAGCTTCGAATTCGAGCGGAATGACCTGCAACTAACTCCAGTTCAAAACCCCAACAGAATACCCTTCCTCCTCTCTCTCTTTTTCTTTCTTTATAGAGAGAATTCAGGAATTACGCCACTGAACAAACTCCAGCCTTTTGCCTTCAACAGTGTCGATCCCTATTGTTGAAACTCGTTGGAAGAAAAAGAGCAGGCGGAAGATCTTTGACTTTGACATGTTTTTAGGACGCGGGTACCCAATGAAACTCAAGGGTCCTTTCCGGAACAATGTGCGGATTTTCCTTGAGGAATGTGCAGAGCTCCAAAATTACTACGTGCGAGGAATACCTGTCTGGTGTACTCGTCTTGTTCACAAGACCAAGAACATCGTTGTTCCCCTGTACACGGTCGTCGAGAAAGTCGAGTGCTCCAAGAACCCTCGCTGCGATCACTGAAGATTCAGTGGTTAGATTTTGAAAATCCAGATACCCTTTTTCATTTTACTGCATCGCTTGATTTTCTCAGATGGGTTTTTCTTGTTTTTAGTTGGGGATTTGGTATCTAGTGTTACTTTTTTGTATTGGGGATTCTCCATTTTTGTTGATTTTTTCTTTTTGCTGATTTTGGTTTTTGTTTCTTCTTAAAGGTTGGAGTGAGCAATTATTGTCTAAACGGAAGTATCATCTGATAATTCCTGCTGATACTGAATGGAAGATGCGTCTTAAGCATGCTGCTTTAGGTCTCCGCGCACACCTCTTGCATGTAGTGATCCACTGTAACGGATTTGGTCATCTAATCTGCATAAACGGGATTGAAGGAGGATCCCAATTTGCTTCTGGCGGAAAAATAATGGATCTTTGGAATAGTATTTGCGAAAAGATCCTTTGACCCCGGTAATGGAAAATCCTAAGTGATCATATCATTGATCAAGTTCTAGGCAGATTTAACTTGAAGGATGATGACTTTCTTTGATATGTCTATTTCATTTTTTTGCAGAAAAATCACTGTTGAGGATTTGTCAAAAAAGCGGTGTATGGATCTTTGGCTACTTCATGGAATTGCTTATGGGCATTCGTGGTTTGGGAAGTGGGGTTATAAGTTCTTCCGTGGAAGTTATGGGGCAGTGACACAACACAATTACAGGACAGCAATTGAAATTCTGATTTCTTTGAAAGTTGATGAACTCCTATTAGGATTTGGGAATGAAGAATTCAGTATGCAAATAAAAAAGATTACTAGTCGTTACAGAAATCAGAGTAAAGCTCAGTTGATCACCTTGAGGGATCTTCTGAGGTTTATGCTCGAAGTTAGGTCCAACGAATCCCAACAACAAATAGTTCAAGAGCAAATTCGAGGTCCTGCTTTGGTGTCAGGAATTGATGTGTATAGCAATGTTACTGTACTGTATACAAATCTTTCGCTGAATTATCCAGAATAAAAAATAGTGAAAATGGTAGTTCAAACAGTTCTTGACAACAAACATTTTGTGCAAGATTGGCTCCTTCAGAAATGAGAAGGAACAATTATCTGGAGTTCCCTCCAGAGATGAGGATGAACAATTATTGAGAGTTTGTTTCCAAGTGAAAGAGTAGGTTGGCTAAGAAATCACTGTCAGATAAATTGATCGTAGTTCCATATCATGAAACACTGTTAGAGCTAAAGGAAGCTATCGCAAATGCACTAAGAGACACCTACTATGATATGGATAAATTTGTGGTGACAGATATAGAAAATCTGAAAGGGATGGAGGACAGGGAGATGCTTGAACAGAAGGTCGAATCTAGTTTTCAACTTGTGATGAGAGAATGAGGGATAAATGGTTCTAAGTTTAGGTATCAAGGGTGACACTGAGCATCGGATGGTGACATGCGAATGTGGAGTCGAAGACGATCATGGTGAGCTGATGGTGGCTTGTGACATTTGCGAGATTTGGCAACACACATGCTGCCATGGAATCGAGGATTCACTTCCACCACTGTTTCTCTGCTCAAGCTGCTGGGATGTGATGGGAAGAGCATTAAAGAAACAGAGACTACTGTAATAAGTGCATGCTTGAGAGCAATGATGGATAATTCTCTTTTTTTTCTCCTTGGAAAGCAGCAACAGATATGTCTTTCTAACTGGCACGTCAAGATATATGGTATGCAGCAAAACATATGTAGGTTTCTTTTATGCTTTTTCTGAAATCAAAAAATTTGCTTTAACTGTCAACTTCCTTCAGTTGAAGATTCATTGAATGTTCAATTTGTTTGAAGATTTCTGGTATCAAATCAAAATCACAATAGTATGCACTAATAAAACAATAATGTCAAGCTTCTGCTTTCCTATCAAAGAATTCTGGAGACTAAACTTTAGTCACAGTAATTTTACCTTTTTGAGCTACAACCAATTTCCAATCAGTGTTCTTGGAAGTATTACAATCAGTCATCTAAAGTTTGTTTTGAATCTCTAAATTTAGCTATGATTTGATTCTATAAATGGGATAAATATTGTCAAAACCATGCTCATAAAATAAGAGTAAATATTTTTTCCGGTCATAATATATGATGTATGTATCAATGTCATGTTGAATAAAAATAGTTTTAAACTTTGTCACAGAGATACAATATCATTATATTTATTAAGGATTGTAATTAGTTCATTTATAATTTATCAAACTTGATATATTTATGTTCATTGTTGATCCAAAAATTTTTAATATCATTTAATGCTACTTTTTTCTTAATATATACCTAAATGATTTGTTATAATCATTCTCGTACATGAATAAAACTTGGAACAAGAACAGGTGCTCTGAATAGATAAATAATTAGGATTTCATAATTAGTTTACTTAGGATTAATTAAATAGAGTAATTCAAATTCCATCAAATTTCATTCCAAGTAGAATTAGAAATTAATTTCACATAAAAAGAAAATTAATGTTATTGCACTTCATATTCTGTTTATATATACCAGTATCTATATTGCCTCGAACCTAAACTCCCTTCTACGAAAGGTTCTTCTTTTCAGGATCCTTGAAAAATTCAGAACATAATAAGCCATACAGATATCTTATATAGGATTATTAACATGGCGGCCTAAAAACCCATAATTGATCGCTGCAAAGATGAACTGAAATCCAGCACAGATTAATCCAGTGATATCTGTGAAAGTACCAAATAGCATTTGACTTGCAGATGGATAGCAAAATGAAGATCTCCTGCCTCTCCATCTCCATGTTACTTTTTGGCGTCTACCTTCGTAAACGAACTCAACGATGCAGATGAACATGGCCCCACAAAAGATATCGACATACTAATTAGTGCACACTGCAGCTTATCAGAAGACAAAAGTTGATCAAAAACAGCTGCCAGAAGCTCCAACACGAAGTTGGCAATAGCAAAGAGTTGCTCCAAAGTTGCCTGCAAAAATAAAATTCGAAACTCAGATGACGAGAAGCAGAAGTTAGCCACATATTCAAATTATGTAAGTACTCCAATATTATCATTTACCTTGAAAATTTTGAAAAATGATACATTTGTCTTCTCTGCATTGACATTTGTTACCTCTACGGTAATATATTCCTTTTGGCAGATATAATTTTCTGCCGGGTTATTAGAACTGTTGGGACTGATATGATGCACATTTGACATGATTATGCATTCCCTCTCAGCCATTAAGCATCTTCTATCTGATGGAAAAACTCTTCTACATATCAAAATATATAGAAATTTACTTACATTTTCAAGTGATGAGATGTTATTTTTTCAGCCGAATAAGAGATTTTCATTGAGGGTCCTCCAATATTGTTGATAAACTAATAAGGATACGGATTAGTCAAAATCTAATTCAAGAAACTAGAACTCATTAGTGTATTGTTAGAGTTTCAGTGATTAATTTAAGTTTAATTTTCAGTAAAATTATTATGTTTATTTCAAGTTAAGAACCTTTAGTTAGGATAGAACAATGTATTAAAAATCCGATCTTTTTTATTCATTAAGAAAAAATAGAAAGGAATAATCTTGTATTCCTTCTAATACTCCTAAGACTCCCTTCACTGTCCTATACATCTGTAGTTCAAGTAGCACTACAGGATTTATAAAGACTAAGCAGCAGGCTATGGCACAGCTAGGTTGAAACACACTGTAATATTTTGCAGACCAAAACCTCATAGAAGAAGAAGAAGAAGAAGAATATGTACCTGCAAGTGGCTTTTAACATGAGCAAGGGTCAAGTCCTCAACATTCATCAGCTCAAGAACATCTTCTGGATCGCCCTGCGGATCAGTTTTGTACAAGTGAGATATAGACGAAGCATATATAAAGCCTATAAACCTTCATGGAAGAAAAATGAAATGATATGGAGAAAGGAGGATCACACTTTCAGGGCCACCAAGAGCGTTAATGGCATTCACGAAGGCACTATAAAGTGCTGTAGTCCATCGAATCTGTGGCACTTGTCGCCTGCAGGCTTGGGCAGATTGCGCTGTTCGAGAGATCTACAACCAAGGTGAGAAGATGATCTCCACTGAGAAAGAAATTCCGGAGAACAATGTTCATGTGCACGGGTTCAAACACATAATATTTTTGTGAAGTTAAAACAGTAGCAAGTGAGTTTTAACACAATGGATGGTCAAGTTCTTTACATTCATGAGGCGAAGAACACTTCCATAACATGTAGAATTCAGAAGAAAATTTGAAAAAAATAAAAAATGAAGTTCATATACCTGCAAGTGTAAAATGAAGTTTTCATGCCAGTGTAAATGTGTGTGCATTTGTATGTATATATACATATATATATAGATAGTATCTGTATTTGCTTCCATAAGAATTCAGAGTCAGGAGGAGTCACTGCCGTCCTAGTTTATGTAGATGACATATTTGCTACAGGAAACAATGAAGATGAAAAAGTAGCTTTCAAGAAATGCTTGGTTGGAGAGTTCGAGATTAAGGAATTAGAAAAGTTAAAATATTTTCATGGAACATAAATTTTTTTAAAAAAAATAAAAGAGAAAGAATATTATTATGCACAAAAGTACTAAGGAGATACTACCCGAAAACACAAAATTACAAGTCAATTAGGTGGTCCATAACAACTCCAATATCTTTTCAATCTCCTATGTCATGACCAATCAAAATAGAACCAAAAGTTCGGAACAAAAATGATCTACTCAAAATAAGAAATATTCATTTCCCAACAAAAGCATCACATATTTGTTAGAGAAAACCAACAAACTAGCATGCAAATCAGCTAGCGTAGCACTGATCTGAATCATAAACTGGGACTGCTAGAAGAAAACCTATAGTTAATAAGGAAATGTACCAGAAACTAATAGGAAAATTAATATACTTGTCAACTAGGCTAGACATATACAGTTAATATAAAGAGTCAGTTCATGCACAATCCTAAAGAAGTACACTTACAAGTAGTCTACAAAATACTTTATCACTTGAAAGGTACTATGAGGAAGAAGAATTATTTTCAAAAAAACGAGTTGCTTCTTAAAGCATATAGTGATGCAAACTATGCCAGATCACTAGTTGACAAGAGATCCACTTTTGGATATTGTACCTTTCTTGAACAGAATCTAATAACATAAAGAAATAAAAAACATAATCCAGTAGCTTGGTCTAGTGAATAATCAAAGTTTAGAGCTATGATCCAAAGAGTGTTATGGTTGAAGATGGTTTTAGAAAACTTGAAAATTCAATGGGATGGACCTACAAGGCTCTACTACAATAATAAGTCAGTAATTAGTATCGCTTATATTCTAGTACGACATAACAGAGCTGAGCACATTTTTTTATTTAAAAAAAAAATAGAGCTAAGCACGTTGAGATAGTCAGACACTTCACTAAAGAAAAGGTGGATAGCGAAATTATTTATATTCCATATATGCCAACTACTTCGCAACTTTTTTTTAAAAAAATAAAAGCTAACTACTTCACAACTTACAGATGTTATGACTAAAAGATTAGTACATTTCAAACTGTGTCATTCGATATATTTTCTCTACTTCACAAAAACTTTCTTATGAGTCTAAATGCAGTGTCGTAATACATTGTCTAACTTGGGAAGAACAGAAAAATGTTATGAAAGTTGAAATGTAGATAGTAGAAAAAAACCAAACATAGGAAGTGGTAGATTTTCCAAAGAAAAAGATACACATGGGATACAAGTGGGTGTTTACTACAAAAACAAGGCTGATGAGACCATAAATAGATATAAAACAAGACTTGAGATAAAACGGCATATTCAAACTTATAGGTATAAACTATCAAGAAATATTTGCGCTATTTGCAAAAATGAATATAATGCTAGTCCTACTACTCCTAGCTGGCAACTTTGATTGATAGTTATAGCAATTTGATGTAAAGAATGTCTTTCTACATTCTCTTGCATTCTCTCTCTTTCACGTTTACCTTAATATATGTGGCTACATGGATAGTTACTCTTTAACTTGCTCTTAGTGCCCTTTTTTACACAGAAAAAAAGTTTTGGAGGAAATGTCAAAGCCACTTAGCCCATAGAAAAGAACACTAGATCCCAAACCCATGTCTCATTTTGTCTAGAGAGCCAATCCACATTCCTTTTCCACCAACAAGGTAATATCACAAAAACCCCTGATTGCCAACCATGATATTTTCCTCACACTCTCAATTCTATCAACCACTGCCAAAAAGATTTTAAGCTGAAAGGAATAATATAGAGGAGCTCTAGATAAATGGCCTTGGATGAGAGTAACAACCCCCTAAGAAAAACAAAAGGCACCTTTCTGACAAAGAAGACATGCAATAATAGGCTACTTCAAATTAAAGCAACCAATACAGGAAAATAAAATCTTGCTTTTAGAAAATTTGTGTCGGATGACCTATTTTTCAATTACTTTTCTAAAAGCTTTCAATTGAAAAACCTAA